AAATCCACGCATGGGGTGCAGGCAGCTGACCAGCAAAGGCATGTCTTCTACAGAGTGAGTTTTAACACAGCAAGTTGGACAAAACCAGACCCTTAATTAGGGAACACAGTGTACATTCTTACACAGGTCCCCACTGGCCAGAACACAATTGTGACTGGGCCCTAGCGTAGTGCAGAGGGAGAGAGAGAGATAGGGTGTAGAGGTTGGAAACACATAGAGGCTTTGTCTGAGCGGCTGGCAGCTCAGTTGGTATCATAATCCTCTGTTCACCATTGAAAGCTGGGCACTGTGTAGTTAAAAATCTATAAGATCAAGGTCAAAGTCTTGGAAGAGACAGATTTTCTCTGAAAGTGAAGATTGAAGGGCAAGTGAGAAACCATTTAGGTTTGTTTCTCTGAGGTTTGATCAACTGATTCATTAGTAAATACCATCTTACAATAATTAAATGGTCTTACAGCTATTTATAAAACTTACCCTCTGCCCCTCCGTATTTCTACTGGAAAAACAGTATTATTGTCATGAATCTGAAAACCTCTAGCTTGCCTTTTATCCTATTAATCAAAAAACAACTTTTACAACACATATTTTGATACATAATTTGTTGGGAAGCAACAATTGTCTCACTGTGTATATGACTTTATGTACATTTCAGTTTTTAGGTGAAATATGGGGATGTCATTATCTTCTATAGATAATTTACTCATTTTATACTAATTTTCAGTAATCCCCCTAACAAAATGTTTGCCATACTCTGTAATCCATTGTATGCTTATGCTTGACTATGTGCTAGTATAAAATAGTATTATGTCTGACTGCTAATGAGTCTAGGTTTATTTTTAGAGTGATGAAAACATTACAAAATTAAGTAGTGGTGATGCCCCCATAACCCCAGGGTCCTGGGATCTGGCCCTGAGTCAAGCTTCTTGCTCAGCAGGGAATCTGCTTCTCCTCCTCCCACCTCCCTCTCTCCCTCTCTCTCTCAAATAAATCTTGAAAAAAAAAATTGACAGGTTAGGGGCACCTGGCTGGCTCAGTTGGTAAAGCATGCAACTCTTAATCTTGGGGTTGTGGGTTTGAGCCTCATGTTGGGTGTAGACATTGCTTACAAATAAAATCTTTAAAAAAATCTATTAAAGAAAAATGGCAGGGTCACTACACATGCTTATTTTATCTATTCTCCCTTCCAAAAAATTGTTAAATTATAGCAGTAAAATGTATATTTTAGAAAAGTAAAGAATTAAAAAATATTTTAAGAGGTGTAGCAGAGAATTTTTTAAAGGCTTTAGCTCTTCAAGAGAAGGAGACACCAAAAAGTGAGAGATTATAGCCCACTTTTGGGACATAGAAAGTGGGAAGAGGATGATAAGTGACTTGGCAGAGTGGAAACAATTCCAGTTTAAGTGCTTTCAGAGGCCATGTCCCAAAAAACAGGCCAAATGTATGTGCTACCAGCCATGGCAGAAAGCAGGGCAAAGGCTTGGTGAAGCCAACATTCAGAATGGATTTCAAGTTTCACTGCATCAACTTGGTCTGGTCACTGGAAATTTATTATGGAGAAATTTCCAGACTCAGAATCTGTGGAGAGCAGAGGAGAGATGGGCATGGCTTGGAAAGGGGACACATCCATACAGTCATGTGGTCTCTTGCTTCCCTTGACCACAGAATCAGTAGCAAGATATTCAAACTCCCCTACCTTCTCTATTCCTTCTAGGCTTAAAAGCAGACTTACTCTTCTCTGAAGAAGCTGAAAGACCCTAGGGGAAAATCTTCCAGCTACTTGGATTTTGTGGGGGTTTTTTTGTATTAAGATTTTATTTATTTATTCATGAAAGACATAGAGAGAGAGAGAGGCAGAGACATAGGGAGAAGCAGGCTCCATGCAGGGAGTCCAATGCAGGATTTGATCTTGGGACTTCAAGATCACACCCTGGGCCAAAGGCAGCCACTAAAATGTTGAGCCACCCAGGCATCCCACTACTTGGATTTTGAAGTCTGCTCACATAAAGTCCTATGTGGCTGCCCATTCCACCACTCATCAAGCCCAATGCTTGTACTTGGAGCATCCAGTCACCTCTTGAATGCCTAACAGACACAAAGGGACAGTGAAAGATGACCAGACAAAGGAAAAAGCTTTCAACAAGAAAGGGAGAGATGAAAACAAAAGAAGGTTGAAGGAAACTGGGGTAAACTTACTAATTCAATTCAAGGAACAAAGCTAACAAAGAAGCAAACAAACAACAAGAAGTAAGCAAAGAACCCTAACATAGTATAATTAGTATTTTCTTAGAGTTTAGAGAAAAGGCCATGTGCTTTGAAAAAGGGAAAGTCAGCAAACAATAATGAGGTGTTAGAATTTAAAAATCTAATTCCAAAAGGAAATATAAAGTTCAATAGGATGTATATAATGAATAAAATAAGAAAACTTCATCAAAGGTAGAACCAAAAGTTAAAGAATTGGAAGCTTCCTAGAGAGAAAAATGAGGAACAATCGGAGGATCAATTTAGTTTTCTGTCATTACTTTTCAATAGCCAACTAATAAAAGTTTTCAGGCAGAATCAAGAAAATGAAAGGGAATAAATTAATAAAAATAACAGAAGGGGCACCTGGGTGGCTCAGCAGTTGAACATCTGCCTTTGGCTCAGGGTATAATCCCAGAGTCCTGGGATCGAGTCCTACATCAGGCTGCCTGCATTAGAGCCTGCTTCTCCCTCTGCCTATGTCTCTGCCTCTTCTGTGTGTCTCTCATAAATAATAAATAAATAAATAAATAAATAAATAAATAAACAAATAAATAAATAATAAAATATTTAAAAAAAACAAAACCAAAAAACAACAGAAAAATTACAAAACACAGTGTTGTAAATTTCTAAGGGACAATGATCTACCAAATAGGGATGAAAAAGACTCATATCGAAGGAATGGGGGACTTTTAGCACATTTGGAGTTGAAATAAGATCTTGAACATTTCCAGAGATTTTTTAAAAATCACAAAAGAATGGGAATCTGAAAGGTCTGGAACTTTTCAAAAGCAGCAGTGGAAGAAACAAAATACAGAAAAATAATATACCCAGAGTTCTGTGGAACTCTAATTTTCAACTCAGAATTCTATACCCAGACAAACAGGCAACCAAGTGGTAAGAATAGAAAGAAGGAGTTTTCAGCATTCAACCACCAAAAAATATATAACCACATATATATATATATGACATGGAATCCAGGGCACAGGTGATCCACTACAGCAAAGCAAAGAAAGGAAGGCCCTGTCCTGCACTGGCTTTGAGAGCATCCAGTTTATTTTTTTTTTAATTTTTTTAATTTAGGGATCCCTGGGTGGCACAGCGGTTTGGCGCCTTTTATTTTAATAAATAAAAATTAAAAAAAAGTTAAAAAAAAAACATTAAGTCTTTAAAAAAAATTTTTTTTTATTTATTTACGATAGTCATACAGAGAGAGAGAGGCAGAGACACAGGCAGAGGGAGAAGCAGGCTCCATGCACCAGGAGCCTGACGTGGGATTCGATCCTGGGTCTCCAGGATCGCGCCCTGGGCCAAAGGCAGGCGCCAAACCGCTGCGCCACCCAGGGATCCCGAGAGCATCCACTTTAAAAACAGAACAAGAGAATAGAGAATTTCAGAAGACAATAGATGGAAATGATCATTTGATGTATTGGAATGCTTGAGAAAATTATTGATGGATATTTGAGAGATCTGCTGGAATGTTTGGGAAAAAATGAATAACAAATAAAAAACTAAGCAAATTAAAATAAATAAATGAAAGCAAAAACAGGACAACTATTAACTCCAGGAAAAATAAAGTTGTAAAGAGAGAAATAATCACAGTTGATCACAAGTTTCTGCATGAAATAGTATTTGCATATTTATAAGACTATAGATACTGACCTAGCTACATTCAGTGGGTGAAGGAGAAGAGAGAGCAAAGAAGAGAGGGCAAAAAACCCACACCCTCTTCAAAAAGCCAAAAGCCTACAATAAATAAATATATAAATGGCTGTTAGTGGAATTATTTAGCAATGTGGAAATAAATATAGAAAAAAATAGCTTAAAAAAGTTAAAAGTTAAGGGCGGTTGCCTTTGGAGTGGGATTCTGGAGTGGGATGAGATAGCAAAAAGGGCTATTGTTTTTCAACATAAGCCTTTTAAAAATTGGGGTATAGCTGACACACAACATAAGTCTTTTAATAACACTATAAATAACTTCATGCATGTATTATTTTGATAAATACGAAAACTATTTAAAATAGTACATATAGGGATTATGGTGTATTGGTTTGCTGGGGCAGCTGTTACATAGTACCACAAACTGGGTGGCTTAAGTAACAGAAATGTATTTTCTTACAGTTCTCAAGGCTAGAAATCTGAGATCAAGGTGTTGGCAGGGTTGGTTTCTTCTGAGGCCTCTGAGAGAAGGTCTATTCCAAATCCTTCTCTGTGACTTGTAGACGACTGTCTTTTCCTCATGTCTTCTCATTGTCTCTCCTCCATGCATTTCTCTGTGTCCACATGTGCAGACACTGGGTGAAGGGGGTGTGGGTTGGTAGGGTGAGCTGGCATGTTGGTTTGGTTGGACCTGGCAGATGGTTTGATGTGTGGAGTTGGTGAGGGGTGAGCTTTGGTGAGGGGTTTAACATGGAGTGTTGATTATGTTCCAACATAGAGGACCAAAATATGTGACTGTGTGTGGAGATATAGTGTGGATGTGGGGTATGTGTGTATTTCTCTGTGTGTATATATGGTATGGCTGTAGCTTAGTTTAGCTTTTGTTTAGATTTTCCTTTGCCCTTTGTTTTAGTCTTTGTTTTTGTCTTTGTTTGGCCTTTGTTTTGTCTTTGTTTCACTCTTTGTTTAAACTTTCTTTGGCTTTTGTTTGGTCTTTCTTTAGCCTTTTGTTTAAAGTTTGTGTGGCCTTTTTGTAGTCTTTGTGTAGCTTTTGTTTTTAAGTGGATCTTGGCTGAGAAGCCATCAAAAATACCTTGTGTAATGAAAAACCCGGATATATAATCTCTCCCTATATATTCTGTGTGCATTGAGGTAGGCTCAACACCCCCAGGGACCTGGTGCAGACCTGGAGCCTGTTTCACACGACTGCTACTTGAAGGTAAGGGAATTCCATAGGTTTTCATTTTACTTCAGATTGTACTTCGGTTCAAGTGGTAACTGCACATTTTTGTCTGGGCCATTTCATTATATTCCACAGGGAACTTGCTATTATAGCAGTCAAGACTGCGAGAACATAAAATGATGGAGAAAACAAGAGCAGAGGACACCAAGGTTATTCTAATGTGAGCAGAAGGCCCCTTCTGGAATGTTCCAGCTACAGTTTGGGAATTGTCTGAGCCTGGGGAGAGATTCCAAACCCTAACTCAGATTCTTTCAGGTTTAAAGCTTCAGGGATGCCTGGGTGGTTCAGTGGTTGAGCGTCTGCCTTTGGCTCAGATCAGGGTCTTGGAATCAAGTCGCTCATTGGGTTTTCCACAAGGAGCCTGCTTCTCCCTCTGCCTATGTCTCTGCCTCTCTCTGGGTGTCTCTCATGAATAAATTAGTAAAAAATCTTTAAAAAAAATAAAGCCTCATGTGTCTGGAGCTAGATTTGTGGAGCTATTGGCTTCTTCTTTTTCTATTTCTTCTTTCATTATTTGTCATGATTTGAAAATGAGTTTTTCCTTCTTATCTAGGAACAACATCTTCCCTCACATAGCTGGATTTATGTGTGGTGGATATTAATGGAATAAGAAAGTCGAAGTCTTGTTAGAATTTTGCTCCCTGTAGATTAGCAACCTTAAATGGAAAGACGTTAATGCTCTGTCTTGTGCAGAATCTCTTAGAAACCAGAGTTTTCCAGTGTTGTGGTGGGTAGAACAATGAAAGAAAAGATTTTGGGTCAAGGGAATAAAGCAATGAACTTGGCTAAAATACTAGGAGAAAAATAGGGAAAATAATTTTTGCTGCTTTGTGGATGAAACAGGAAGGAAAAAACAGATTGGTGTTTGATGCATAGCTTGGCTGTTTTATGTTTATTTAGATTAACAAGAGAATGCCTTAGTGAGTGGATTTTAAAAATTGTTTCAGGGGCACCTGGCTGGCTCAGTGAGTAGAGCATGCATCTCTTGATCTCAGGGTTGTGAATTTGAGCCCCACATTGGGTATGGAGCCTACGTAAAAAAAAAAAAAAAAAAAAAATTGTTTTAGATTAGCAGAAATATCACAAACTCTAGGAACATTCCAGATATACCCAGATCACCCAAATGTTGACAACTGCAACAATATGTACATGATTGCCTTATCTGGTCCATAGAAATCACCCTGGAGTTTGAGGAAGTGACTTTTACTTAAGGATTATACGTTCCCATGATGAACCATTGGATCAGAAAATGAAGGTGTCCTTTGGTCACTCACCCTAAAGAATTGGAAGCTAGGACCACGAAGGTTTGGAAGGCCAAAAGAATCATGTGGATGGGAATTGAATTGTTTACCACAACCTGGAAGTCTGCTAGGCTGGGATTAGGGTCCCTTGTGGAGTCTCCAAAGGTGACCTCTTATTGGCTTGGCAGGCCTCTCTGGTTTCTGTTGCTCTGTTACCTCTAACACATTCAGTAAAAACTTGATGGTATTAGCTGTGGTTAAAAGACCAGTCTGTTTTAAATGTACTCAGGATTTTGTTTTCATTCAGGCATGATGAGGGCAGCAGATTAGAAGATGATTGCCATTGAAGATTGACACTCACAATTCCCAAAAGGAGGATGCATGCCTGACCATGCAGAGCCACATGAGGAAACACCTGGATTGACAAGGAGCCAGAGGGAATGAGGGGAAAGCATGGCAAGAGCTTTGTGGGATTTTTTTGCAGGAAGGACTGGGAAAAGCAGGATAAATAGACTAGGTAAATTTAGGATGGGCTAGTTTGAAGAATTTCAGTGGATTCTGGCATAAAAGGACTGTCCTGAGTTGTCTGGTTCCTAGCCATAAAGTGATTAGCACAGAGGAATGTTGGCTTAATCTGTGGGACCTTGGTAAAAAGGGTAATTGGCAAGTGTAGGCTCTGGATTGGCTGGTTTAAACATGAAAGTTACATTCATAGGGGAGTCATTTGTTGTCCCCAGGAATTAGCTAGCCTGGGGAAGGGCAATGTATCTGGGATCAATAGGCCTCCAGGTGCCAGAGCATCAAGAATAGAGAAAGGAAAATATAGTTAATACACAACAGCCACATTTGGAGTGAATGGGATTGGCAAAAGTAGGGCCGCATTCAGACTCTGAAGCAACAGCATTTAAGATCCAAGGACATTTGGTGTAGACAGATCCATGGAATGTGTATCTATTTCTTATGCCAGTTCAAAAATTAATTATGAAGATAGAGGGATGGGTCTTCAGTGATCCACAGCAGTGAGGATATTAGCTTGGTGCGATATTATATTAGTTTGGAGGATATTACACTGTTGTGTAACAAATTACTACAAACTGAGTGTTAAAACCATGCCCATGTATTATTGCACAGTTCTATAAATCAATTGTCCAGTAGGCTTGGTACTCTGCTTAAAGTCTCACAAGGCTGAAACCAGAGTGTTGACGGACTAGCCTCTTAGCGGCTCTGGGTGAAAATCTACATCCAAGCTCATTCTGGGTGTTGGCAGAATTCATTTCCACATGGCCCAGGTCCCTGGACTCCCATTTTCAGGTGAGCAATGGTGGATTGTACTCTTCCGGTGCTTCAAATATCTCTGACCTCTTCCTTTGTCCTAGTTCTCTGATTCCAGCTAGAGAAAATTCTTGGCTTTTAAAAGACGTATGTGATTAGACTGGGCCCACTCAAATAATGGGTAATCCCCCTATTTGAAGGTATATCTGCAAAGTGTCTTTTGCCATGAAAGGTTACATAATTCATAGGTGTCAGCAACTAGGATTTGGAAATTGTTTGGAAGGGCCATGTTGCCTACCACAGAGGGTTTATGATTAAATACTGAACACTTGATTAAGGTGGTATTTGCCAAAATCTCCATTATAAAATTACTATTTTTTGTTTTTAATTAATATTTATTGGGAGGGAGATATTTTGAGGTACTTTCATATTTATAACCCTGCCCTCTGTCTTCATGTGAACATAATTCAGGTTTCTACCTGAATCGGTGTCTCTTGAGTTGCAATTCAGATTGCCCAAACTTATGCATCTTTGCTTAAACTTTCAGTGAATTCTTTCTTGGTCAACACCTATAAGGGGTTAATATCTTAACTACATAAAGAACTTGTGCAACTCAACACACACACACATACACACACAAAAGAATAATCCAATTAAAAGATAAGTGGAGGGTCTGAAAAGGTGTTTTTTCCAAAGAAGGCATACAGATGGCCAGCAAGTTGCAAGTACCTTGTTTCTCCTCAAACTTTCACCTGCTGTTTTTACCATCCGTTAGTGAATATTGCTTGCAGAAGTTGTTACTGTGGTATTCTTATGATGATTTTTTATTTCCCTCATTGCTTCTACATTTATTAAATGAGAATTATTCCTTTTGCTTTAGAGTGAGGGGAGGGGCAGAGGGAGAGAGAGAATCTTAAGCAGGCTCCATACTGAGCACAACCCTGAGCCAAAATCAAAAATCTTTACTGACTGAGCCACCCAGCCACGTAGGCACCCTAGAATTATTATTCAAGGAAGAGTTTCTCTTCATTTACTTTGATTTTTTTAGATTCCACATATAAGTGAAATCATATAGTATTTGTCTTTCTTCTCCTGTCTCATTTCACTTAGCATAATACCATCACAAATGACAAGATATTATTCTTTCTTATAACTGAGTAATATTCCATTATATGGATATGTACATACTACATCTTCTTTATCCATTCATCTATCGAAGGACACTGAGATTACTTCTATATGTTGGCTATTGTAAATAACGTGGCAATAAACAGGAGTGCATCTATCTCTTTAGATTAGTGTTTTCATTTTCTTCAGGCAAATACCAAGTAGTGGAATTACTAGATTATATGATATTCCTTTTTGAGGAACCTCCATACCGTTTTCCACGGTGGCTGCACAAATTTACATTCCCACCAACAGTGCACGATGGTTCCTTTTCTCCACATCCTCACCAACACTTGTTCTTTCTTGTCTTTTTGGTACTAAATATTTCAACTGGTGTGAGGGGATATCACACTATGGTTTTGCATTTTCCTGATGACTAGTGATGGTGAGCATCTTTTCATGCATCTTGTTGGCCATCTGTACACCTTCTTTGGAAAAATGCCTATTCAGGTCCTCCACTTATCTTTTAATTGGATTATTCTTTTTTTGGCGGGGCGGGGGGAGCGGTGAGTTGTACAAGTTCTTTATGTAGTTAAGACATTAGCCCCTTATAGGTGTTGACCAAGAAAGAATTCACTGAAAATTTAAGCAAAGATGTTTGGGCAATCTGAATTGCAATTCAAGAGACACAGATTCAGGTAGAAACCTGAATTATGTTCATAGGAAGACAGAGGGCAGGGTTATAAATGTGAAAGTTTACAAGTGCAGTTCTCAGTCAGGGTTGTTGGACAAAACAGACTGAAACTAGGTCAGCTGGAATTGGTTGTGTTAATTTACCAATGAGGGATTGAAACTTGTCAAATCTCATTGGTTCCTTCTGAAGTGAAGAATGGGAAAGAGTCCAGTGTCATGGTGAAGAGGGAGTTAAGTCCAGGCCCAGGACTTGAAGTTGGCAAAAAATTCACAGTTCCTTGAGGAGAAGGTGCATAAACTCCTTCTCCCATATGACCTCCTGGGCTATTTCATTCATTTTTTTTGAGATTTTATTTATTTATTATTGATTTGAGAAAGAGGGTGAGAGCACAAGTGGGAGGAGGAGCAGAGGGAGAGAGAGAGAGAGAGAGAGAGAGAGAGAGAGAGAGAGAGAGAAGCAGCTTCTCTGCAGAGCAGGGAGTCCGATGCAGGGCTCGATCCCAGGACCCCAGGACCATGACCTGAGCTGAAGGCAGACACTTAACCAACTAAGCCACCCAGATGCCCCATTTTATTCTATTTTAAAGATTTTATTTTTAAGAATCTCTACACCTAACGTGGGGCTTGAACTCATGACCCTGAGATCAAGACTCTTGAATGCTCTACTGACTAAGCTTCGGGGGGGTCCACCCTATTTTTTTTCACCCTATTTTAAAAGAGACTCTCCTAGCTAGGCTTGCTTGCTCTATCTTGAAATCTTTTTTACACCAGATATATTATTTGCAAATATCTTCTCCATTCAATATGTTGCCTTTTCATTTTGTTGATGGCTTCCTTTGCTGTGCAAAAGCTTTATATTTTGGTGTAGTCACAATAGTTTATTTTTGTAATTTATTTTTAAAAATTAATTTAAATTTAAAAGGAAGAGGCTCATCTGATTTGACAGAGAAATCTTACAATAATTTTTACAGTTAGCGATACAGAGTTGTCAGTTGCATCATTACTATGATTAGCTATTGACTAAGACAAATTATCAACTAAGACAACTGTGGTATTATGATTTATAAGGAATATATATTTAGTCATGCAAATGACCAAAATATATTTCTGTCGTGTATTTGGTCTTTGTCTATGGTTTCTGGTGCATAGCTCCTAAAACCTTTGAAATTTCCTACCATGGGGGCATAAAGATATCTTGTGTTATGTTCATTAGATGAGCTTGGAAAGCCCTTAGACAACATAAGGATGCAGGGGTGGGGGTAGGGGGCTGAAGGTGATTAGAAGGATGGAACTCTTATTCCTACTTCCTGACCCCTGGGGAGGAGAGGCTGGAGGTGGAATTGACCAATGGCCAGTGATTTAGTCACTGACAACTGTGTAACAAAACCTTAATAAAACCCCAAGGGGTTGGTGAATGCTTGGAAATGCAGGGAGAGCCACATGCCTGGAGAGGGCAAGCTCTGCCTCCTTTCCCTCTACCTCATTCACTGTATCTTTTCATCAGGCTGTTGATATGTGACTAGTGTTTCCCTGTGTTCTGTGAGCCAGTCTAGCAAATTAAGGGAACCCAAGGAGGAGATTGTTAAAACCTTCAAGCTGTAGCTGGTTGGTCAGAAGCACAGGTAATAGCCTGGGATTTGCCACTGGCCTGGAGTCTGAAGTGGAGAGTAGAAGGCAGTCTTGTGGGACAGATCTCTTAACTTGTGGAATCTGATGCTATTTCCAGGCAGATAGCATCAGAACTGAGTTGAATTCCCTGACACCCTGCTAATGTCCCAGAATTACTTGGTGCATGTGTGCATTGTGGTGGTGGACACACCCCTCCTGCACAACACTGGAATCTGGTCTAGGAACTTTAAAAGAACCAATCAGAATGACAAGTTTCTTTTGCAGGTTATTTTTCTATCTATAAGACCTCTTTGTTCAAACAGCACTTCCAAGATCTGATATATAGTAAGAAAGGAGGGGGCAAGTGGTTATGGATGGTCACACATCTCCATATTGCATGGGAAAACAAGATTGATATTGTGAAATTCTCAATTTAATGTCTTATCAAATTGGATTCCTTCCTTGAGTTTTTAATGTAAAAAATGTGTCTCTCTTCCAGAGCTGTATAGGAGGAGGACATTCTAACTCCCTTCTTGAGATGCTTTACTTAATTACCATGACTTGCATTTTTAAAGGCAGACTCTGAAATTTCATTTATTTTAGGACTTTCATTCATTAGTGTTATAAGTAAAAATCTGATTTGTAGAGCTCAGATTTACTAGAAGTGACTGAAGAATGTTTACTTAATGGCAATGAATGAACTACAGCATTTTTCCTCTCTAATGATAAGATAGTCTTTAAAAAGTTTGCATGCGATTTTGTGATTATATTCTCTCCCTAGTCCCCAAAGAACAGATAACATCTAAATTACATCTCATAATCCTTTCTAGGATGGTGAGAGTGAAGTTCTGTCTATAGTACATATGAAGTAACTACAACTCGAATTACCAAAATACTGAATTAACCAGAATACATTCTACTGCTTCACTTTTAGGGAAAAAAGGAGCAAATGATACCAAGACAAGCTCATAACAGAGATCTAATCAGCAGATGTGTACGGATGAAAATACAGGTACAAATGAATTTCTTATACTCTTTTGGATCTCCATCTACATCGTAGTATAATGATTACTAGTATTCAAAATGTTAAAGTAGAATGTGGAGTCAGCAAAAGATTGAGCAAACTTTCAATGAGAGTTAAACACTTTAGAAAAGCTTATTCCAGGTGTTTCACAGTACCTTAGGTTTAGGGAGGTGGAAATATGCAGACGAAGCCCTGCATCGCACAGTTTTCAGTGGCTGTGGCATGGCAGATGACTCTCTTTGGAAACCACTGAACTACCAGATTTTGCTCAAGACGAGAGACTCTTCACCCAAGGTTCGATTTGCTGCTCTGATTACCGTGTTAGCACTGGCTGAAAAACTAAAGGAGAATTACATTGTCTTGCTACCAGAGTCCATTCCTTTCTTAGCTGAATTGATGGAAGATGAATGTGAAGAAGTAGAACATCAGTGCCAAAAGACTATTCAGCAACTGGAAGCTATACTGGGAGAACCACTCCAGAGCTACTTCTAAAACTTTGGGGTGTTGGTGTTTCTTACTCTGTTCAGAGGTCAGATTTACTTTTCATATTTTTATTTTGGGTGTGGTACCATATTACTTTTGGTACCCTGTCACCTGTCTAGGCTCCTTTATGAAAGTCCCACCTGGTTTGTACTACTATAGAAGCCTACCCTGCCACTTGTACAGAATTGCAATAAGAATAAATGATACCTTCTATTTAAAAAAAATGCACTTCTCTGCATTTGAGGAATGATGACCCCAGACACTATTTGTCTACTTTTGGCAAACTCATGTACTATGCATGGAGAGAAGAGCCATTCTATGAAAAAGAGACTTCCTTGACCTTTATCTTTAAATTCTACTCAGAAGTTTCCTTCTATTTCTTTGTCTTAACTGAATCTAGACAATCTTCTAAGAACAAGGCTTCATCTGTCAGCCTTCCAAATGGGGGGATATTTCCCCTCCAAGTGACTCCAGAATTGAGTGTGCCAGTGTCCTCCCCATTGCCACATTCAGGCCATTACTCCTTTCCTCTCTAGCTAGTTTTCCTTGCTTTGAAGCTTGTGTTCCATTCCTTGTGCTGGTCTTCACCTGAACTCCAGTCATGCCTCCTCCACTGGTGCTTCTCTGGTCAGCTCCCTCACCCCTTCACACCAACTCCATCTATCAGCCCACATGACTTTAATGTCCCTATGAATGAACAATTCACCACTCCGATGAATTACCAACTCTGCCTCATCCATTGCATGTTATGGAACTTGGCAATACTTGAAACTACTCCATTTCTGAATCTAATGGTGCAAACATCTCGTATTCATTCATAATCTTCTTTTCTTTCAACTTGCTTTGTTAAGTACCCTACTACTTCAAGTGGACCTTCCCCTCCATCTCTACATCCTCTAATGAATCTATTCATCAATTTCTCTTTTCTACCTATTTTCTTTCTATTATTGGTAGATTTTGGGATCCATCATGTCAATTACTTTGCGGCAAATTCACTCCCAACCCTAGATGAACCCATGCCTTCTCCTTGTCTGCACCCTGGCTGCTGAAAACACCTGAGGAAAAACACAGTGAGGCAGACTGCTACCACTACACATTAGTGGTCAGTGGTGACCCCACCCAGGCCATCAATACTACCTGGCAGCTTGGTCTTCAAATGTCTACAGATTCTCTGTTAAACCTGTTTTATTTTTCACAAATTCCCAACTTTCTCATTCTCAGCTATGTTTGCTTCCTGTTTCACTGGAAAAATGGAGTCCATTAGATAGGAACTTCATACAGCCAACTGCTTTCCCTCTTCCAACAAAGGCCAACCCTTCTGCATGTGCTCTGCAATCCATCTCACCAGGGTTTTCTCAGGGACACTAATTATTTTCTCTTTTATTTTATTTCAATCTCTTCCTCTCTTAGACCCTTCCCATCAGTACTTATGTTGCTATTAGCTGTCACATTATAGCAAAAAAATAAAAATAAAAAATAAAAAAATAAAAAATTCTGGAAACCACATAATCCTCTAGCTACCACCTCTCTCCTGCCCTTCATTCTCAAATCTCTGGCCTGAGTTGCCTACAGTGTCTCTCCATATTCTTAGCTCTAATTCTCTTCACAAATCTTCCCATTTACCTTCTGTCTCATCCACCCCATGGAAACAGTTCTTGTTAAAGTCACGAGTTATCTCCATATCACTTAATTCAATGTACTCTTTTTTTTAACTTTTATTTATTATGTAATCTCTACTTCCAAAGTGGACTTGAACTCAGTACCCTGAGATCAAGAGTCTCAGGCTCTACTGGCTGAGCCAGCCAGGAGCCCCTCAATGTCCTCACAACACACCACCTCTCAGAATCATTCCACCAAATTGACCACTCACTCTTTTGAAACCCTTCTTCCCTTTGGCTCTCATGATATCACACATTCCAGTTTCCCTCCCTCATTCTGACTCTTCCCCTCACCCTTTGACAAACACTCCTCTTCCACCTACCCTGTAAATGTGGGACGGCTCCCAGACACAGTTCCACCTTCTCCCCACTCCACATTCTGCCACCAGGCAATCCTCTCCATACCCCTGGCTTCAACTGCTACCTATGTTCTCACCAACTTAAGTTCTATCTCCCACCCAGACTTCTCTTTTGAAACATTAATTTGACATCTCCATCTAGATGTCCCTCAAATACCTCAACCTAAGTGCACCTAAAACCGAACTCATGATTCAGCCTCTTCCCCTAAAACTTCTCTTCCAGTAGATGCTTTTACCACTCATCTAGTTCCTTGAACTATGTATTCCTTGGACTCAGCCTTGACTCCCCTTCCTGCTTCTTTGAATAGACGAATGATTTCAACATAATATAGTAAATATGAAGATGGAAGCATATAAATTGCAAAACGGAACAAAGATAAGTGGCATTTCATCCATCTGAGGAAGTCTACCAATGTAGCTGCTAGTGAGTGACTCAGAGTGGCCTTGGACCCAAAATTCAGACAAAAGCTTAGTCAACAATCTGGTGCTTATTTCAGCTTCCCTTATAGCTGGTTCTTTTCTTTGTCTTCCTGAGACTAATGCCCTTGGAGAACCCAAGGCAGTTTAGCAGGTCTCTTTGCGGAGCTGTCAGTGGAGCAATAAATCAGCCCATCAGGTAATCTAGCTTTCCCTTTTTGCCCTCTTGCTGTGAACATAGGCCAAATTAACGTTTAGGTTTTTCTGTAAGACAATGCAAATCTGGAAGATTGGTTACCTATACAGGGAAAAGGTGAGCAGGGACCCAATCACTAGGAGTCTTGTTTGACTTCTTAAGAAGCAAGTACTTGCTTTGTAACTGGGAGAAGCCTCTGAAGTTTTAAAGTAGGAGATGGATACATGAGGAGATAAACTCATGCCTTTGGTTCTTTCTCCTGGAACCTCCTGCCCCCTATTTATAGAAAAGTGTGGAATTTCACATCCGAATAACATTCTAGTGTAAGTTCACCAATCCATACAACAGTGTATTGCATAACTTTTAGAAAAAAGAATGTCAGGTTATGAAAATTACATTCAGAAAATTATTGTACTTCTTACATGTTTATCTGACTCCACTATAATAAGCAAAGTTTTTACTCCCCAAACATTTGCAAAATATATTATCTATGTGCTAAGGATACCAACCTCGGGTCACACTTGTTCCTTTTCCTATAATATAATAGCTGAATTCAGGTAGAGTTTGTTGTCAGAAAGGGCTCTGCACAAGTCTATGGGATAGTGGGCCCCTGTACTTTGTCCTTGTCACCTGGCACAGAGCAATGAGGGCTTTGTTCGCTCTCCAGATGGGTTGTCAATCCTTAGACAAATCGAGGCACTTTTATGCTGTTATTTTAAAGCCTCAGCAGCTCCCCAACTCAGTATTGGAGTTTGGCAGGATGCTGCTGTCTGTGGGAAAGCACCCTGATTCAAAATAAATATCTCTAAGAAATTTTCCATTACCTGGAACCGGTTTCTTAGTTCAAGAACCCACTGTTCAACATTCATGCTATTGATATGTAAACATTTTGGTTGCTAAGGAGATAGACAAATGGATAAAAGAGGTCAAATGGATAAAGACATCTTTAGAGAAGTCATGTAGTGACAACCAAAGTTTACTTCCTAGGCATAGTTTTACTGCTGCGGACGAGCAACAACGGAAGGCACAGCCTTTTATTGTGTAAATCTACACTCAGAGGAAAGCATTGCCCTTGGCCTGGTTTTAGAAAGCATTAAGGGTCTCTAAGGAAGGTGGTGAAAGTGAAGTTGAATTTGCGTCGCAGTGATACTTTCTTTCCTGGCGGAGGAGCTGGGGCTGAGTAGAATTTGGAAAGCTATATGGTAGGTGAAAGATGCCCTGGTCTGCAGCGAGCGAGACCGCCGAGCCTCCGGGTTTTATTCCAGAAGCAGCTCTTCCCCAGAGCAGTCGGCACTTGCGGGAGGCCGGGGCGGAGCCGGGGGGCGGAGCCGGGGGGGCGGAGCCGGGGGGCGGAGCCGGGGGGGCGGAGCCGGGGGGCGGAGCCGGGGGCGGAGCCGGGGCGGAGCGGGGCGGAGCTCCAGCCCAGCCCCGCTCCCTGCGTTCCCGCCCCCTGCGCGCCTCCCGGGCCCGCGGGTCCGCTGCCTTTTGCTCGCGTCTTAGCTCTTCTGGTCCTGTTTTAAGCTCTTCCTTTTGGGTCGGTCGGAGTGGGCGTCGATTTACATTTCCTTGCTGTCATTTCCTGGAGTCCTACGGAGTTCAGGATATTTGCATAAGATTACTGGCTTTTAAAGATACTTCCTTTCTATTTTTTGTGTGTGCCTGTTTTCATATTTTTAAAAATTTGTCATTTGTTTTCTCTTTAACACTCTGATTATGAAAACCTTGTACTTTTATATATTCCTATATTTTCTCCTATAATGGCACCGATCTTTTACCTTGTAACTTCATGGCATCTTTTGTTCTATAAAATCATATAATCTTTATGATTTGTTTTCTTTCTCTTCACATCTGCTGTGTTAGAAGCCCCACAGACCA